AGACTACATTGTGCATTGGAGATGAATTTTTAATTTAATAGTTGTGAACTCAACATTTGTCCTACATGGTTCACAACATATTTAATTTTTTGACATTTGTCAAAAAAAATTTTATAACAACATTAGAGCATTGGAGATGCTCTAATGAAATGTTAAAATAATAAAATACTTTTTGTACCAAAAAAAATAAAAAAAAATAGTAAAATACTTTTTTGGATTAAATTCTATTTGGAATGGATAAATTGTAGGAGTTTTATCAATACAAGACCCGAAATATGAGTAAACGAAAGATGAGTAAACTACCAATATGGGCCTGAAATTTTTTTTTCTCAATTCAAGACTTAAATATTATAAAACTATCAAATTAAGTTTTATAATTAACAAAACTCATAACACCATTAAATTGAGAGATAACTTGAAGTTTTAAAACACCAAATTTATTACAAAGTAAAAAAAGAAAAAGAAAAATAAAGAAAATTAAGGAAAATACGAGATTGTTGGAGAAAATTAAGGAAAGTATGAAACTCTTGGTCGGTTTTCTTGCTATCGTCCATTTCTTTTTTTTTTTAATATTATGCAAATGTTTACTTATTATTTTATGTGAGTAAACACCAATCTTTTATTTTTATTTTTTTTTAAACTCTAAATTTAATGGTGTAATGAGTTTTGTTAATTCTATGACTTTATTTGATAGTTTTATAACATTTAAGTCTCGAACTTAGAAAAAAAAATATTTCAGGCCCCGCATTGATAGTTTATCCATCTTTCGAGTCTTTAATTTGATAGTTTTACTAAAATTTAAGTCCCGAATTGAGAAAAAAAATCTTTCAAGCTCCGCATTGATAGTTTACCCATCTTTCGAGTCTTGTATTGATAAAAGTCCTAAATTCTATTTGGAAATTATAAAGAGTGATATAATTACGAAGAAATGCTACGGTTTCGTTACCGTATCATCTTGTCGGGTGTTTTGACCGTTGAATACACATGTAGTTAGTATAAGATAGATAATCTAACGGTTAAAACACGACGTCCATACCATTCCCCATTAATTACACCATTTGGAGAAGTGAACCAGAATAAAATGTGTTCTCTCGATATTTTAGCTAATCAATTTTCTCTATATGGAAAATGGAAGACAATGAATATAGAATATTTTGGGAAAAAAAAAAAAAAACATGGTAAAACTAATGAAAAAATGGGGAAAAAAATTGAATGAAAATAAAATATTTATTTATTAGTTTGTGGAATTTGAGATAAAATGTAATTATTTAAGGTGACATTATATAAAAATAATAAAGTAATACTTATAAATAATTAATTAGAAATTATGTAAATAGATCAATAATGATTTTATTAAATAATACACATCAATGATTAATTTTTATTTTTTGAATGTGTTGACGAGATTGAGGTAAAAAAAATATAAATAAGTCTACTAAAGTATTTTTTTATTTAAATTATAACTTATCACAATTCTACTTAAATTCATAATCAGTTAACCATCAAAATAATTTTATACAAATCTCAATCATTTCACCATCAAATTTAAGATCTCATTCACACCTAAGTAACAAATCTCAATCGAATTTGAAGTTTTGTGCCACCCTAAGGTGAAGTTAACAAACACAAAGAGGGATAAAATTCGCAAAACAAAATAAGGCAGCAACTGTACGCAGAAAAAAGCCGAAGCCTTTAGTTTTACAGCCCCACCGGTACGCAAAACAAAATAAATCTCAATCGAACACGAAGAAAGTCATGATTTGACGCGGTAGATAACTGTAGGCAGACTCCGTGACAAGGAAATCAGCAAGTAAATCTCTTAAAATTCATACACTTCCATTGTCTGAGTCTCGGTCGCAAACAAACGATTAAGGTTGGATATCTGGCCAAATCCTATCTAATCTCTCCTAACAAACAAATGCACTGTGTGTAGATTAGGACAAGGAAAAATCCAGAATCGCATATGTTATTTTGTTGGCAAATCTTAAATCACTAGACTTACTTGTATCATCGATGCCCAAGCAAGGTGACCCAACTCAAAATTTGTGAAAGTTTCAATCCAGAAAGCGTTGCAACAAAAAGTGATTAATTTATCGTACTCGGTCCTTATGAAATAAGTAAATAAAAAGAAAAAAATTGGTGTAATAAAATCCATAATTCAACATTTTTGTTCCACATGATGCATTATAAAACCACCAGTCAGTTGTATAACAAAAACAAAGCATCTTTTGGATCCCAACTCCCAAATACCTTGCTCTGAGTAGGTAAAGTTCCAAATAGCATTATATAAATCATAATCACTTTACAATGCTTACAGATACACAACAATAATGGCCCCTTATGCAACTGTATAGGTTTTTAGTGTGGTCAGTTCTATTTGAAAAGCATAAGTATGATGTCGAAATATAACCCCTTTAAACAACCTAATAGCAGCGTTCCTGCAAACCTAAAGAAGTTTTAAAGCATTATATAAAACAATAAGTACAAGAAAAGAGGTTTCACATGAGATACAAGTTTATACAATTAAATTCATGCTAACATGTATAGACCGAAAGCAAGATCACAATATGGATGAAATGTATCAAAGACAACTATTGTGCAGCACACACGTAAAGTGAGGATCGGCAAAATAATCCAGCAAGGAATAGTAAATTTTGATAATTATTAAAAAAAAAAAAATCTCCACAGCACCATAACAATAAAGGCTTTCATGATCATATATGGATCAGAACCCAAAGTTTTCACCTTCAGAAACACAGTAGCTAACAGATTTCAAGGGACACAATCAAACATCTTAAAAGCTATAAAATTGCATTCCTGTGCACGAAGACATTTAACACAAAAACATTTACAAGTACCCTACATCATCAGATGCATCATGAGCTTATAATAATAGTCCCGAACAAAGCCCAATGTTTTAAAAAAAATACGATATACCCTTGATTTAATGATCTTATGATTATGCTAAACCTTTGGAAGACGCAGCTTCACGTTCCAGGCGCCGACGTTCTCTCTGTGTACCAGTATCAGCACAAGAAAACAAAAAGAAAGAGAAAAAATAGATTAAAAATGGAAATAATTTTTCTACCACTAAAATTACTAACACCACCACAAAGATTTTTCCTAATGTTGCATAAGTAAGAATTGCGCAATGTCACAGCAATAAATATGAAAATTCGACTAAAGGAAATCACGTTTTTATGCTGATATAGAAGAAGAAGTTCACTATAGTGAGCGCTCGTCACAAACTACTAATAAACTTACATCAGTCAATTATATTAGTTATATACAGAAATGCCAAAATATAATTATGAAAACATATTGTGGACTATCAGAGCAGAAGGTAGATTATAGCCAAAGATAAGAATCGGTGCAAATGAAAGGAGTTCAAAATTTATTGTTTCCCTTTTTCAAGATTTTACAACAACAGAGAAACCATAACTGTGAGAAACATACCCTCCTTTCCCAATACGGAAGGAAGCAAACAAAATCATAGACAGGGCCAATTGTTGACACCAGAACAACATTCACTCCAGTGAAGAGCAAAAGTGCAGTCATAGGTCGAGTTTTGTGCGGCATTTTCCCTATACACATGAAAATTTATAGTGTGAAGAAGAAGTGATCACAGATAGTTGAATTTCAACTTTAACGAAGCACACACCATAAGTACAACTTAAAATTGAAAAATAAACAAATACAACTGCAGTTACGAAAACTTCCAGTAAGCCCTAAACACTACAGCTGGGCCCGGATGCCAGAAAATCTTTAAGACAATACTCCCTAAGACACCAATGCCTCTACTTGTATTATATTGATCAAAATCCCCTCATTCAAGTACCAAATGTGCTTTGTATTAAATTCTACTGGCAAATATAACATGCTTCGTCTTATATATATTTCACCTAAATGATAATTGCATATGCTAAATGCTGCTTTATACAACTTCTCATATAATTTCCAGATTTCTTGAAAATCTCAAACAACAAATTTAACGACATCATATAGGACCAACATAAATGCATGCATACTCACCCATTCTTGTGTGAGACAGCCTAACCATTAGGCGAGTCGACCCGTCACCTTTTTTTTTTTTTTTTAAGAAATAACGCATACTTATCTTATGAAATTATTTACTTATGTTGTTTTCTAGAGTAAGACATTTCAATTTGAAAGTATGGATATCGGTTGAAAAAGTATGATTGCTTACCGCTACGCCTGCCTAACAGCATACATAATTGAACATCAACAAAATGCATATTAATGTTGAAAACTTACATATGGTTCTACGAGCTTATGAAGCAGCTACTACCCCATACTAAAGGTGATTACACATTGAGAAAACTTAAAATCACAAGTACATACA